ATAAGTTTGAAATCGCCAACCCGCATTGAGCAAGTGTGGTGATTAATGCTCTAATCTTCCCCGTATGAGAAGAGGCCTTTGCTCAGCAGTGGGCACTTATAGGCTGATGATATTTAATCACACAGTATAGGAAAATATCGTGAGGGAACTTGGACTAATACCTAAAATAATTCCTAATAATAAGTTTGGAAGTGCAAATCCACCTTGAACATGCGTAATGAATAATGCTAAAACCTTCTCGGTGTGAGAAGAGGCATTTGCTTAGCAGTATACACTAGACTGATGATATATGATACTTCAAAAAAGTCGAAGTGATTTCTTACAAAACTTTTTGCAGCATAGTTTTACATTTGTTACATTTAAGAAGCCAAAACCCATATTGCTTAAAAATATGCGTACAAGGCTACATTGCATTCTTCAGAAATCAGAAATAATTTATTTGCCAAAATGTAGGTAATAAATATGTTGTTTTTTAACTTTGGACACTCCCGGTACATTTTGCCTTAAGGCATGCAAAATTATTACATTGTCTAAGTTGCTACGTGTATACATCTAGTTAATATTTTTATAATTATAATATGAAATCGGAGACACACGTCGGTCAACAAAGAATTACTTTTAACAATTAATCGAAATTAGCATTATACAATAATTATTATTATAGTGAAAAAAACAAACGTAGTATAAATAAACTCTTCTGGACCTATAATTTTATTTACATTGCCTGCACAGTTGGCGCTCTCCTATTCTCGCAAGGATCAAGTCTTTGTGCGATCCAAAAATTGTTAGGTATGATGTGTATACATTCAATTTTGTATGTTTGTAAACGCACCTACCACGCAGGACAATATCCTGATATAATGCTGGCCACATGTGTCTTTATCAATTAAAAATAAGAAAATAAATTCAGTTTCTTGCAGAGAAAAATGGATTGATAGATATTATTATAAGTTACATTGACTTTCTTTTTTAATAATAAATAGGTGTTATTTAAAAAAAGTGACGTCAACATATAAATGATAATTATCTGACTTTCAATGCAATGACAAAATGACAACTTTGACTTATTTATGATCTCAATAAATTAATTTACTGTCATGACGTGTTGATAACGTAATTAATTAATTGACATGATTATTTATTACGTGTACAAAAACTATACAGCGTGAATTTTTAATAACTGTTTCCACAAGCTGCATCGGTTTGTCTTTTTTATTTTGTTAACTGTGGGAATCCTTCATAAGGTGGAATGGTTGTGGAGGAAAAGAGAGTGTGGGGTGTAAAATCTCCCCGGTGGCCTTCATAACCACTCTAAGGGACACTGGGTCCTCTCAGTAGACTAATTTCAGATAAAACGGTTTTGCCTCTAAGTGTGGGAGAGCCATGCTTTGGCACAAATGGGTCAGCTCGTCCGGAGTGATAACACGGCCTCACAGAAAACCGGCTTGAAACAACCACAGCGTTGTCTTTCGCTGTGTGAGCGAGGTTACCGGAGGCTCAATCCTTTCCCTTCCCCAATCCCTGAATCTCCAAATCCCTAAATTCCCAAAAGTCCGGCAATGCACTCGTAACTCCTTTGTTCTTGCGGGTGTCAATGGGCAGCACTGATTAATTACCTACAGTCTGTTCGTTTGCCGACCTATCGCATAAAAAATATTTTGAGTTTAATAATGTTTTTAAAATGTTTACCCAAGTATTTTGCCTTTTCAGCTAGTAACCAAAAGTTATTTTCAACGGCTTATTCAAGATGTCGTCACAACTCAACACTGGCAGTATAGTCGACAACATTTAATTACTTTTAACGTTGCCCCACACTAGTATTTTTTACTCGAAACAACAATTTGTGGATCACACGTAATGTTGCTCCGTGCGGGATTGATCCAGCGACACTGAACAGTGAACGCAGTCGTCTAGCCACTGCGCTAACCGTGCAACCAAATACCCGCACAGTAGGTACATTGAAATTGAGACTCGGGTGCCATCCAAAAAGAAAAAACATTTTTTTTTAAGTTATGTTTATTGTCATAAGAAAATCTTCAGGTGATAAATTTTCTCGTTTGCCGACCTCATCATCATCATCGGATGGAATCAGGCTAATGACCTGGCCTCCCCAAATAGGTTGTAGAACTATTCCATAAAAAACTCTTATATAGAGGAGATCCAAAGACTAAAAGCAAACGATCAAACGGCTTCTATTGATTTGGAAGCTAGGGCTGCCTAAAATGACAAAGAGGTATGGTTCCGGACAAAATGTAACACTTTTTAGTAGCAGAACATCGATCGCGTGCTATTCGCAAGTGATTAAACAAAATAAGTTTCATTTGTACGTACGTACAGACAGAATATCAGTTATCATTTTGTTTTAGTTTTTTTTTTATGTATTTTTTGTTGATAAATCTTTAATATAGAAGCAGTTCTAAATAGTAGTAAGTTTTGCTGATTACATAGGTAGTGTGTCTATAGAAAAATGTATGTGTGAAGAACAGACGGTTTTTATCGCAGACTAGATACCTACTCGATGACGACTTGATTATAGGAGGGCCGAAAAATTTTCAAAATTTTGACTTCTGGACTTTGACTTATTTATGATCACACACGGCATTACAATCAACTTTTGCGTTGTATATTTCGTTTTGTGTATGAGGTTTCTGGAGTCCGGTCTTTCCCTCTCTTTCAAAACCATCTCTCAAATATCCATCCATCCATCCATCAATAGGGTGTCCATGAGCGGTGTTGATTATTTACCACCAGGCTGTCACTATGCTGCTTCTGTTACTGCTCATTCTCTATTTTATCACATCCAAAAAAAATCTTTAATGAAATTTTAAATCCTCGTATTCCAGCGCAAGTTCTGAGAAAACAATAGAAACCCCTATTTTCTAAAACGATACTAGCATTGTCGCCATTTCGCGGTAGTTTTCCATTATAAATTGTTCATTCCTATTTCCGAGAAGAGCCCCGCGGTCCGTAGTTAGAAATATATTTTTAGTTTCAAGAATATTTTATTCCGGTCACCAGGTCGCTTTTCTTGGAGATTGCTCTATCTTTTGTAATGCCTAACTTTGTTACACGATGTAGCTTCTAGACAGTTCTATTGCAAAATTTAATGGATTCTTTGGTGCAGACAAATTATGTGTTAAGGGTTTTTTTATGAGCGAAAAATCATCAAATCACTTCTCTTGCCAAGGGTATGTCAAGAAGAGAGAGTGTCAGACTCTTACTGACTAAAAATGTGTGGGAGAGCCATGCTTCGGCACGAATGGGTCGGCTCGACCGGAGTGATACCACGGCCTCACAGAAAACCGGCGTAAAATAACCACTGCGTTGTGTTTCGCCGTGTGAGTGAGGTTACCGGAGGCCCAATCCTTCCCCTTCCCCAATCCCTCCTCAATCCCTAAATCTCCAAATCCCTAATCCCTAAAAGGTCGGCAACGCACTCGTAACTCCGCCGTTGCGAGTGTCCATGGGCGGCGCTGATTGCTTACCATCAGGTAATCCGTCTGCTCGTTTGCCGACCTATTACATAAAAAAAAAAAACCCGACGTTCCTTCTCCTGCTCTAGGCCGCGGCCGCGGTGCCTTATTGCGCTTGCTCCGCAACCCCGGCTGATTATGGGATAGGATGTATGAAACAAGCAGACTGATCAGCTAATGGTAAGTGAATGGCGCGTTGCTATTGGATACCCTTAACACCAGATAAGTAAAAGAAGAAGTGTGGCAGAGCCATGCTTTGGCACGAATGGGTCGGCTCGACCGGAGTGATACCACGGCCTCACAGAAAACCGGCGTGAAACAATCAGAGCGTTATGTTTCGCCGTGTGAGTGAGGTTAATGGATGCTCCTTCCCCTCCATCAATCCCTTAATATCCAAATCCCTAAAAAGTCGGCAACCCACTCGTCACTCCTCCTTACCATCTGGTAATCCGTCTGCTTGTATGCCGACCTATTACATAAAAAAAGTAAAAGTGCACAGTCAATTTTTGAACAGGAATCGATATTATTTCAATTTCCTCACTCAACAAAATATGTTTAACCGATTATAATATTGACCTGACATTTTATATACACCCTAAGTTTTCTTGACCATAAACGCTGAGTTGTATGATGTCACTCTAAATTGAAAATGGCGGCACCTCCAAGATGGCGGAGCAGTTATTATCAGATTAACTATCGTGCCATTACAGACAGTTAATAATCACAAGATAATTCCAAGATCCATGATAAGAGGAACATCTAAACTTCAGCTAGTTATTCAGCCTCAAAATCTGTTCAAAACAGTACTGTACTAAGTTGTACCACTTACCAAACTAGCGACATGCTTCCGTAACGATATGCATAATTACTTAAACTTTAGTTCGTAACTTGTACCAGATGTCAGTACACTAATCGCGTTGGGAGTTTTGAATCGTAGTTTGGTGTTTACAGATAAATTGGTGATGGAGAAAAAAATTGCAGTTTATGGCTGCTCTAGTCAAGTGATAAGTAGTGTTAATTCAGTGACTTTGGATCTTTTATTAACCACAACCTTTTTCAACAAGGGTAAGAATTTAGTGTACTTAAATAACATTAATAAATTCTTATTTTATCTTTTAAGGCAAGTTGAAATAGATACTAGGCTCTTTTGTAAAATTCGAAAATCTCTTATGCCTATTTTAATAATTAAGACTTTTAAAATCGGTACTCGTCATTAATACTATGTATTACCTACTTTAGGTACTTGTTCAAATATTACATATATTTCGTTTTAATATAGTGAATAAAACGTTATTTCAATCTTTGGTAAGTGAGAACCACTTAAGCTTTGCTTTATTCAGAACTCTACATATCCCATTCATTTGGGTTTTCTAAACATTCTTCAAAAAACTTACAAAGAGTTCTTTCATAAAGGGCAGCCATTTATTTTCTGCTCCGTGAACAGTCTAGTACACAAAAGTACTTATTTTTCATACTTTGTTTCAAAATAAAAATATTATATGAAAGAGTACGTCAGTTTCAGCCATTAAAGCATATCACCGAAAATTGAGTGACATCAAATAAAACTTGTTAGCTCAGTGAATTTGCTAACCACACATATGAAAGTAAAATATTGACTCACAATACCTATTAGCGACGTATACCAAAGCGAAACGAAAACATTTTTTATGTCACACATCAATAATTCTCGATAAAGCACCTTAAATGTGCGGATCACGGAAAATTCTTGAATAAAAACATGTACAGTGGAAAGAAAAGTGGTGTAGCACATGCATGCAAGTGAAGAACTCAATGAAAAAAATAATGCACACGCCGTCCGCGGTGGCCAGTGCAGCGTGACGCCAGATAAAAATGATCAAGCAGGCATAGAGGGACTCATTAACCAAGTAGCCATCGATGTAGATGGTTCGGAAAGGCGTGACCCACAAATGGATTGGTGAAAACCTGTGACACAGTGTTTGTGAAAAAGAAATAGGTTAAAATGAATCCCCTTGCCCTTTTGGTCGCTTTTATGTTGATGGGGAATGTTAGGGCGATAGTTGAACTGAACTGTAGTGATAATGCTACGTGTATAGATCACATGGCGAAGGAGATTCTGAGGAGTTTGAAGGAACAGAAATCTGTGAGGGTGTTCAATGTGTTAACGATAGAACCATTGAGGACGAGGCAGGCGCGGTCAAAAGACTGGTGGTTGACGAACTTTTTGGACAGTCACGCGTTTAGTTTTGACTGGAACGACTACACCTTCAGACTCTCACAGGTGGACGGGCGCAATGATGCTTTGGATTTGGAGATCTACGATGGAAGAACTGCTAAAGGTAGGTGTTTTAGATAGTTTATAAAACACTTAAAGGCCGACGTAAAATAAACAATAAATTTAATCGTTTTTTATATATAAAAAACATTCATATTTTTGTTATTAATAAAACATCTAATTAAGAAAAATGCCTGAACGTATTTAATTAACCTCGAAGTTATAATTAAGATTTTTATTTGAAACGTAATTAAAATGCCGAATTAGATTAATTTTATATAGAACACCAACGAGATATCCATTAAATTTTTAATTGCTTTCTTTTGCCTAACATCTTCAGAAGCATTTATCTCCTTCAGATTATTTATTCAAATTTCTTTTTCAGTAGGAATTTGATTTTCAACCATATTAAAATCCATAGCAAGTGGACTTTTCTCAACACTAACTATATTATAATCATCATCTTCAAGTTTATCATTAGCACGATCATTCTCTGTAACTGTAACAAAAGCATTCATATCAAAAAGAAAGTTAAAACTAGTTAATTAATTATCAAGTGCAATCAGATTAATATTTACAGTGTGCTAATTCACATCTGGAAGCATGCTTGGGTGCAGCCGACCGTTAATGTTTAGGCAGCGTATACAATTCTTACTGGTGATGGAAATGCTTTAACTACTGATACTAAGTATTTGATTAATGAATAGGCTTTGTGATTTATACCTGCAATCTCAACTAGATAGCTGTAGTTAGCATTTATAGAAAGTTGCGGAGGAGGAGTAATTTTAGCTTTACCTGTACTATTAATAACATCTATTTATACGTCTTTTTCTTGTACATGTTTTCTTTTATTATCGGAATATATAATTGTTGATTTTTATGGATTATTTATAGTATATGTTTTAATTTGTTGTAATCCTGTTAATACTAATTCATAGGTATTAACTATTGCTTATTTCCGAAATCTCAATTTGTCAGTAGTAATATCGATAGGTGTAATTTTAGGAGACATCTAAGTGTTTGGGAACAGTTTGGTACGGTTCTTGTAACAGACCAGGACGGAAAAAAGAAAAGTTTAATCAGCTAGTAACACATCCGCTAAACTATATTCCGCGTAAATTGTAAAGTTTATACTGAATCCAATCATTTGATATCGGTGTGTATAAATCCTAACTGCTCATTAACGTCAAGATGAGCACTAATTATCTCGTTACAACAAAATCATGTTCCGACTTTTCTAAACAAGAATTCAGTAATTTTTCTTGAACATCGCTCGTTATACGTCCATTGAATTATTTATGAGTTGAACAAATCAGTGTTTTTTGGCGATTATTTTTTAATTGGCTCTCATCTCTCGGGCGTCTTATAAATCTTTTTCAAGTGTAACAAATAAAAAAAATATAAGGAAATATTTTACGGCTGAATTCATTGGTATTAAGAGGAGGCGGTACTTATCGACCAGATACATTTATAAAATGATATAGTATGTTAATCATAACTGTGCAAACTTTAAAGATTTAAATAATGATTTGTGGCGCGGAGCTCTGAAATTATAATATAGTTTGTCTCGGAGAGTTCGGTTTATCCGAAACCCAAAATAATCTGACTTTCTCACCGTTCTATAGATAATCCATGTGAAATGGTGACCTAATAGTTGTATTTATTGACTCAATGCACCTTAAACTTTACTTCTTTTATTGAAGAGGGTAGGGGAGGGGAAGATGTGTAAGACATGAAATGACGTCTTTCACGATGAGGGAGTGTGAGACTCTTAATAAATAAAAATTAGGCCTTATTATTCAACATCTACTTTGAGTCAATAATAATATTTTTTAAATCAGCTATGGAGAGAAAGATGAAATAGGACGCTCTATAAGAAATCAAAAGATGTAACGAATGTCTGTGGGCGATGGATGAGAATTTCTTAGAAGCTATTTATTTATAGTTTTATGTCTTCAAATTAGATTGACTGCAGGGTTGTTCGCGTAGGTTAAAGGTCAAAGGAAGGGCAAAGAATTATTTAATTTTCCTATTTTGAATTTCCTGTTAACAGCCAGGGGTTACAAAATGTATTCTTTTCTTTCTACTAAAATGCTATATGTCTTTTATTATATAAGTATAGACAGAATAGCCCTTAATTCAAGTCAATTCCGTGAATCAAATCAGTAATCATTATCGTCCACTATGGCATCCTTTTATAGCTTTTAAGACGCTACCTTTCTTTCTTTGGTATAAGCGTTTAAGTGACAATCTACACAGCACAAACTCAGTACAGAGACTGCAGCAAATGTAACACTATATACTTAGTACAATATCATCAGTACCCAAATAATCGTTTTTTTTAAATTAATCGTTATGTTTATACATGTACACCAAAATAACATTGCAGGTTGTAAATAAAAAATAAAAAAAAACAACTGTCAATTTTTGCAAATTGGTTGAATACCCTAGGATTATTTTATACAGATGCAATATGTACGAAGTGCTACGTTGAAATCTATACTAATCTTATAAAGAGGTAAAATTTGAAAGTTTGTATGTAGGGGGTAATCTTAGGAACCACTAGTCGGATTTCCAAAATTATTTCACTGATAGATACCTACAATGTTCCTGAGTACTATAGGCTAAAACATCACGCTACAATTAAATGCAGCCGAGCAGCGGGTGAAACCGTGCGAGAGTAGCTAGTGGGTAATATTTTAGGTTTTCTTTATATAAAAATATAAATTTGCTCTCAACGTAAAATAACTGACTGATCAATCAACATGTCCCAATTACTGGACCCCTGAAATACGACACCCATCAACTCATACATTATCCTCAGTATTCAGACAAACGCACCATTTAATCTGCAAAATCGTATCAATCTCACGCGCATGAATACTAACTAATCATATAAATAGACGTACTTGTTTGTCTGTCCGTTCATTGAACTTTTACATCCAAACCATGTCTGTCAGGTAATCTGTGACCAAGCTTACCCGTGAAAATATTTAAGCAATATTATTTTTACCTAGAGTTAGTTCATAAATCGAAATACAGTATAGCATTACAGTTAACGTCAAAGACCAATAGACCAGCAGACCAGTAGACTAGAAGACTATTGTATTAAAGGTTTTATTGCCACTAGCATCGAATTGATTTCTCACTATTATTTTATCTCGTTATTTATTTGAAGGAAAAGAGACCGCAGCCACTCTCTTTTAATCTGTCAATCCAAGTACCAAGCGTAGTCAAAATGGCAAACTTAAAATGAACAGCCCAGCAGTATAATCAATAAATGAAGATGTAGTTTCCAGAAAAATATTTTTGTTTTAAATCAATTTTAAACGCAAACATCGCTGGCCTGCCTTAGTTAGTTCATGATAATTTTATGTAATTTGCGTGGGACATCCATTTTGTTGGAGCTGTAGTGGTATATTGGCCTAGATCTATGTTACAACACGTGGCTGAATAAATTGAAACGAGAATTCATTATTTTGCAGAGTAAAGTGTTACAAGGACTATCAATGAGCTGTGTCTATTACGTTTTGTTAGTTCTGATGAAGACACAGCGTCTTATTTAAAAGAAGAAAGCGTCTTTAAATAAGGAATATGAGGTGCTAGGAGGCTAAGTGAGGATTCTGCCTAAATAGCATAAAAGCAGTCATAAGGTCATTTGACCTTGTCCGTGTATAATGTTACCACTGTAAAGTAATTGATACACGCTCAATGAACGTATTAGTTCAGTTCATCCCATAAATAAGGATTAGTTTTGAAATACCAATGTATCATACAACATTCTACTTTCTGCTAATTTATAATATGAGTCTTGTTAAGAAATATGGGTTTAATTATAATTGACACTGAGACTTATTAAAATAGCAAAATTTATGGCCTGATGAAATCCCTCACAACTCACTAAAATATGTATTTTCATGAATAGTCTTTGCAATGTGAAAAGACTCATCCATCGTTTTTGGCAGTCGGTCAAAACATGCTCTGAAAGTCACTTCATGGATAGACCTAAACTACTAGAGCCATTTATCATTTTGCAAGTTGACATTTACATCATAATAATATTTTGAAGCGTAGAAGCCTTTTCAGTTACAGGTTCAAAGGAACCATCTATTAATTAACCAGTTTCCTAGTACTGAAATGATGTAACAATTAATATTGTTTTGTATTCCAACATTTCAGTGGTTGAAATAGTTTTGCTGACGATGTATTATGGATGGATATGGCTGTATTCTGTGTTGCTTTTAGGGCGAATTATGTATACTTAATAAATTTCGGTTTCTAGTCAATTTCTAGTTTTGAGCTTTGTAATTTTGATTGGCTACGTTTGTGTAGGGTATTATTTTATGAATGGGTTATTCGTTTTGTATTATTACTCTCATGAGACTGTCATAATAAGAAATTAATTATTATTTACGGAATACTCACTTAACTCTTGTTCTCGACTGGTTTCAGGTCATGCTAGAGTTTCATATTTACGAGCACCATTGATCAAAAACAAAGTCAAATCATTTATTTTGAATTGGATCATTATAGGAACTTTTTATAATGTTTTAGCGATCGGTCAGTTCTTTAGTGAAGCTATTTGCTTGCTCGCCGTAAACCTCGCGCAATGACCTTATACTTCATTTAAAGAAACTATATATGTCTTGAAAATAAAGTTAGTGGCTGAAAATTATTATAAGATAAAAAAATTATTTAATATATTAAAAGTCTTATTATAGATGACTGCAATTAACATCATCTAGTTCAATTGCGTACGACTACTGCAACATATCGATATTGCGAATGACAATTGTACGTAGTCGCTATTTAGTAATTTTATTAAAAACTATAATTATAATCATTCATAAACCATACCCTAAATCAGAATACCATCAAAGAAACGAGAAATACATAACTTTAACAGGCAAAAACGGACTTTGTTTACAACAACATACATATTATAGTTCCGTGAAACCAAAGAGCGTAGTAAACCACTTAGCAACTGCGGTATATAAAATTTGATACAATATTGTCTCCCCGTCATAGTTTGAAATGTCATTAGCTGTAACTATGGCAACTTTGTTATTTATAATTTATGTACAGAAAACATGTCGTTCCGACAGCAATATGTCTTGTTTGGTCGTTCAACGCTGTTACTAGTGTGACTATGAAATATGTTTGGTTTTTTTTTGTGAGGGGAAAATCATCAAATGACTTCTCCCGCCCAGGGCCGGGCGGGAGGGAGTGTCAGACTCTTACTGACTAAAAACCTCCCTGTTCCTTCTCCTGCTCTGGGCCGAGGTCGTGGTGCCTCATTGCGCTTACCCCGCAACCCCGGCTGAACATCAGCCCTTTAGGACCCCGTCTGTGAAATATGTTTGGTTTGGTATACTAGTAGTTCGATATACAAATTTTGATATGTTTTATGAATTTGTACGTGGATTGTATTGTTCTTTGACTAATCATTCTTATTTTTAAATCAATAGGTGTAAATATGAGTTTTAGCTTATGCTTATAAAGGCTTATAAATATTTTTTTTTATTTAATACATCGGCAAACGAGATGGCGGATTACCTGATGGTAAGCAATCAGCGCCGCCCATAGACACCCGTAACGGAGGAGTAACGAGTTTGTTGCCTTTTAGGGATTAGGGTTTTGGAGATTTATGGATTGGGAGGGATCGGGGGAGGGGAAGGATTAGGTCTCCGGTAACCTCACTCACACGGCGAAACACAACGCTGTGGTTGTTTCGTATTCTGTGAGGCCGTGGTATCACTCCGGTCGAGCCGACCCATTCGGGCCGAAGCTTGGCTCTCCCACACTTGAATGTAACTGCAATGTAATTGCACTTGAAACATCAGTTTTAGCTTGCATATAGGGTTTGTAAATAAAAATCATAATAATTATTTTTCAAGTGTGGTCAAGCTTCGGCACGAATGGTCAACCAGCGTGATGCCAAGGCCTCACTGAAAACCGGCACCGTAATGTTCTTGTTAAAAAAATTGATTTTACCTCGATTTGTTTGAATTATAAATTTTTAGGTCATGTTTTCGATAAGACAACTGCAATTATGGAGACGCGTACCATGAGTGAGGATAATGAGTTGAACCTTGTTTATTGACGAAGAAAACCTTTGTTTAGCAGTGAAAAATTTAATAAAACTATCGAGAGACAAACTAAATTAACTAAAAATTGCGGGTTACTCACGTCTATATTGAGAAAAGCTCTACTTGTTTCGAATCACAGAGGGGTTCTTCCTCATGAGCAGCGTGCGCGTACGCGGCAACGTCGCGCAGCCTACAACTTTTCTCAATATAGACGTGAGTAACCCGCGATTTTTAGTTATTTAGTAGAAAAATTAATAGAGATAAAGAGAAAACAGAATTTAATATATTTTAGTTTATTGCGACTTTTATAATAGCCTAATTACACTTGACCTCGTCTTGTATTAAAAGGTCAAAGGTCGTTCAACATTTTAAACAGCATAATTTCCGAAACGGAACCGTAATAGGAAATTATGCAGATGTTTTATTATGTTAGAGAATAATTTCGTGGCTTTTTGTGTTGAACGAGAGTGATTTAGTAGGTGTTTTAGTAAATAGGTCTTCTTTGGCCTTAATTACTTGGCCTTATTTGGTAGTGACTCGGAATGCTTAGTGTTGCTCTTGCAAAGTTTTAGGGATTCGTCCTTAATGGCTGTTAATGGGTTATTTTTTTATTTAAATATTACACTATTCAGTACTCAATTTATTGTTGATTCTACTAAATAGGTCTGCGAGTAACAGGGTGCCGATAAAATAGATTTTTTCGTTTATCATTGTTTTTTTTTTATGGTATAAGTTGGCAAACGAGCAGACGGATTATCTGATGACACCCGCAACACCACGCCTTTTGGGGATAGGGGTTGCGGATATAAGGATCGGGAAGGGATAGCGGAAGAGGCAGGATTGGGCCTCCGGTAAATCTCACTCACACGGCGAAACACAACGCTGTGGTTGTCATCAATGTACCATAGTGTCCCTTGAAAACTGTGTTAAGAGATTTTTTATTATTTATTCCTGGTTTTCCATGTAAAGTGTTTACATGACTGGCAGAAAAGGTAAGCACTAATCTTTCTGCAAACAATGAAGTAAAATCAATGATATACAGCGAGTTTGAAATATCAGAAAAATATTATACCTTTTTGCCTTTGTTCGAGGATTTACTCGTGTACAACAGACTTAAGAAATTGAGAAACTTTTTCCTTAGTAAGGCAACAAAGTGAGAAGTAAAAAATTAAGTAGTTCTTTCAATCTAAAAAATAATATGAAACACGTAGTACCTATTGAGTCTAGAATTGTTTCTTTTGTTGTTGAGAAATTAATAATCTTAACACTTTGGTCGCCAAACTTATATCAAACTCCACACTTAATATTCTGGCGGCTATCTCTCGCGCCCGGCCTTAGTCGAGGCCATGGTTCGTAGCGAGAGGAACTGGGAAGCCGTCTTCTCCGAGCGTGTGTGGGAACTATCCTCCTCACGCCCAAGCGACATTCCGGTAGGCGACATTCCGGGCGTCGGGGATCGAGAGACGATCTCCGGCCACCGTAAGCGCGGGTCTGCGGACAGCGAGTAAGGGTTGCTCGCCGCCCGATCAGATCCAGACCCGAGCGGACGGCGCGTAGCGTTCCGCTCGTGCCTCAAAGAGCTAATAGACCACCACAGACGGGGCCCTATAGGGCTGATGTTTAGTCGGGGTTGCGGGGTAAGTGCAATGAGGCACCGCGACCTCGGCCCAGAGCAGGAGAAGGAACAGGGGAGTTTTTAGTCAGTAGTCTGACACTCCTTAAGTGTGGAGTAATACCACAGTCTCACAGAAAACCGGCTTGAAACAACGTTGTGTTTCGCCGTGTGGGTGAGGCTACCGGAGGCCCAACCCTTCCCCTCCCTCAATCCCTAAATCTCGAAATCCTAATCCCTATCCTCCTCTTAATCCCCAAAAGGTAGGCAAAGCACTCGTAACTCACTCACACTCGTAGCCTCTGTAGCGGGTGTCCATGACCGGCGCTGATTGCTTACCATCAGGTAATCCGCCGGCTCGTTTGCCAACTTATAACATAAAAAAAATCTTTTAAGTCTAAGCTAGTTTACGCTTGACTGGTTTCACACAACACGGTAATTTGATACACCTCCCTAATCCAGTACTGATCATTTACTCGAATCCCATTGGCATCGTCAATTCTGATACTTGTCTATTCACTGGGAATATTCCTACCATTTGGATTCCCAAAGGAATAGAATCTTTTCTTTCATTTAGTCTTTCTGTTTTGATTTATCTTCTTATGTTTCCTTTCTGTTATAGTATTTATTAAGTAACGCCACGATAACGCGATATTAGTATTTATTGCTACAAAAAATATGTGTTACAAAGGCCCCTTCTCACGCGGAGAAGGTTTGATCATTAATCACCATGCTTGCTAATATGCTCACTCCACTCACTATCACTCCGTTCGAGCCAACCCATTCGTGCCGAAGCATGGTCCTCCCACACTTACACGTTGTGTGTTTTCTGGCATAAATAGCTAACTTGAGTCACATGGCGGAACAAAAAGCAAGCGTTGTTTACGCCGTTATCTATGAGGCCCTGGTACCCTTCCGACCGAAGCGTTCTATTCTTACGGAAGCATGGCTCTCACACAATCTTGTTGTGCTGGGAAAATCATCAAATGACTTCTCCCAGCATCGGACGACTCTCGGTCTGAGATCTCTTGATCCCCGACACCAGGAGTGTCGAATACTGCGGCGACTGGCGTGTGAGGAGGAGGATAACTCCCTCACGCACTCCGCCTCCTTCTTTGCGAGTTTAACTGCTTCGCAGAAAGAGGAGACGGCTTCCCTACGACTAAGGCCGGGCGCAAGTGATCGCCATCGCCGATTAGCTCGTGCTAATCGAGGTGCGCAGCCCAAGCAGGGCGCACCGCCACCGTTAGCTCTACCGTGTCCTGCTCTTCCACACTTTAAACCTTTTTTTTTCATAAACCATTTTTGATTTCGATTACAAATATATTTAATGTTAACAAAATTATACAGAATTTTAATGAAACTGTTTTAATTTAGGGTTGAGATAACCTCACAATATTAAACTACTAAATAAAAAAAAACTACGTTTAAAAAAACCGACTTCAAAAACAAAAAAGTGTCAAATAAGTAATTGAAATTGATATTTTAATACCACTCTTACGTACGCGAAGCTAATACTTTTAATATTAATAATAAAACACTATCAATTCTATGTGCTACCTATTCATAGGTTTGAAGTCGGTGCCAAGCCTAATACATAATATAATAAGCATGATACATGAGTACCTACACTCGCCGGGCGCGTGTGAATTTATTTGTTAGGATTTAAGAAATGTAGTACCGATTTTCTAACTTGATGGCGTTAGCTTCTTCTGATTCTACAATCAGAAGTCTATATGGTTGCGTTACCGGCGAAACTGTATATAGCTTAGACAGATATTTGGATGAATTATGAAAGTTTTCTCGTACTTGGTTGTTAAAAGCAGTAGTAGATAGCTGCGTTGTTAGTTGTGGAAATTTCGTCTTTCAGCAATTAAACAGTCTTAATCCTCATTTTGTTTTATTCTGTTTAGGGCTTGGCACCGACTTCAAATCTATGAATAGGTAGCACATAGAATTGATAGTGTTTTATTATTAATATTAAAAGTATTAGCTTCGCGTACGTAAGAGTGGTATTAAAATATCAATTTCAATTACTTATTTGACACTTTTTTGTTTTTGAAGTCGGTTTTTTTAAACGTAGTTTTTTTTTATTTTTTACTTTTTAGTATCTGTTACAAGTTCTTCTGTAAACTACAGTAACATTTTAAATATAAATTAACATATTGAATAGTATATACTTTTTAAGTAGCTTTGTGTACCTAGGCCTACGAAAGGAGCCGCTCGATAAAAAAATATAAATCCCAAGAAATGGGAAAGTTCTCATCATCATCATCATCATCATCATCATCATCATCATCATCATCATCATCAGCCATTTTAATGTTCCCACTACTGAAACACAGGCCATCTCTCTAGGAAAGTTCTTAACAATATAAATTAAGTCCAAACAGGTAGCTACTGTAAACCGTTGAGGAGTTCCCTAGACTGTCCTTCGTCTTCATCATCAGATCCCTGATGACAGTCACAATCCATCTAGATGTAAAGTTCTTATCAAAACGAATTAATTAAGCTCAAACACAAGGAAGCTGCTATGAATTGTTGAGGAGTTCTCTCGACTCTCTCTCGGTTCCATCCGGAATTCCCTCGACGGTCAATGGTCTTCATCATCAGGTAAACTGCAGACCTTCAGTTGTTATAATACATACAGGTACAAAGTTTTCATCAATATAAATGAATTAAGTTCAAACACGAAGAAGTTACTGTAAACCGTTCAGGAGTTCCTTGAGCTGTCCTTCGTTCTCATCATCAGACCCTTAATGACAGTTACAACCAAGCCTGCTGCAAAGTGCTCGTCAATACGAATCATTCAAGCCCAAACACAAGGCAACTACTTCAAATAGTCAAGGAGATCCCTCGACTGTCTTCCAGCTCCAACATCTGGTCGACTTCGACCTTCGTCAAGTTGTAGTGTTGATAAAGGCCTACTTAAACATGATACAAAAATACTACTCGCCCCTACAATTTTCGAAAGTTCCCCTCGGTTTCTCCAGGATTCCATCATCAGATCCTGACCTCATGACAATGGGACCAAATGGCAAGTATACCCTATCGAATAAAAAAAGAATTTTGCAAATCGGTCCAGGCGTCTTCGAGTAATCGGTGTACATACATAAAAAAAAAAAAAAAAAAAAAAAAAAATACGCGTCGAATTGAGAACCTCCTCCTTTTTTGAAGTCGGTTAATTAAAACTAACTTTATTAATAAAAGGTTGTATAATTATGTTTTTGTTGTTCGTTTGTATTACTGAATTAGGTTTTATTTAAAAATTTATATCTGTCCCTACATCCCTATGTATGCCTAGATCTTTAAAACTACTCAATGAATGTTGATGCGCGATTTTTTAATAGATAGAGTGATTGAAGAGGTTGGTTTATATGTATAAGAACATCCATTAAATAGTGAAGAAGTTTAGTATTGCACCCGTGTGGAGTTGGGCGAGCGGGTCAGTTGTTTCTGATCTGTATATTTTATAACTAGCAACCCGCCCTAGTTCTACACACGTATAATTATTGCAAATGTTATCATGATTATTCTGACGTCGGATTTTAAGTTTGATTAAAGGGATTAGTGTTTTGCCGGTGACCTTCTTTTCCCATCTCTAATTCCCAAAAGGCCGATAAAGGTTAGGATTATATTGATGTCCTCTTGTGTTGATAATGGTTATCAGTTTGCTCATTTGCTGGCTTATCTCATTAATAAGGAAGTAAGCAAGTAATTCCATTTTTATGGAATAGATCGGCAAACAAGCATACGGATTACCTGATGGTAATCCGACCTTTTAGGGATTAGGGTTTTTGAGATTCTGGGATTGGGAGGGATCGGGGGAGGGGAAGGATTGGGCCTCAGGTAACCTCACTCACATGGCGAAACACAACGCTGTGGTTGTTTCACGTCGGTATTCTGTGAGGCCGTGGTATCACTCCGGTCGAGCCGAGCCATTAGTGCCGAAACTTGGCTCTCCCACACTTTTTTATATTTTCATAATATTCATATTAAAAAGTGTGGGATTTTTTTAAATATGAGAACATCTTTCTCTTGTAGTTCTCAATTTGAATCTTTATTATTTTGACGGTATATTGAAGAGAAAAGCACTCTGTGACTTATTATTCAAAATAGCAAGAATATGTAATAATGAACACATTTTCCGATCCTATTATAGCCTATTTTTGGGTTAGTCTGGTCCTTAAATTTAACGAATGTTATCATATTTGACCACCAATATAAATAATTGAAGAAGACAGAAAAAAGGTAAAGTAATCTAAGAAAATTTGTGTTTGTCTGATATTTTATAGACTTGGGTTAATTAGCAGATGTGGCGTTCATGACATTTAGGTATTTAAACATTTATGGGTTAACCTGACCTTTGACTGCGAGGGTTTGACCTATATGATCGCTCTGGCGGCAGTGGGTTAAGTCGGGTAATGTACTGATAATAAAGATTGGGTTGACTTCGATACCTTTTTCCTTATCCATATCATTGTTCTGATTAGGTTGTTTACAGATTTCGACAGAAGATAAAAAAATAAGTGTTTTTAAAATGACAAGTTTAAAGAAATATTTAAAATACCATGGCACTCTATTGCATAATTATAATAACAGTCATAATAACAAGTGTTTAATAAGTAAGTAAATATTAAAGTAAATAAATATTGACTTTTTTGTATTAGAATAATCGTCAAATGATTTCTTCTGCCCTGGGCGTAGCCAGAAGAAGTTCGCAATTCCTTCTTCTGCTGAACCCGCGATCCTAATATGTAAAATCTTATCATACCTAAGCTGTTACAATCTTTAATATAGTAAACTCGAAAGTTTTTAAGAATGTGGATGTGAAATTTGGTACAGAAATAGATTATAGTCTGCAATAATATGTCGAAACCTGGCAAGTACCAATGTGACTTTTTCCGAGTTATATGTACTTTCTGTGATTATTTAGACAGACATACGGTGACAGTAAACATCATAATTTCTAATTATAACTTTGAAATCGCCAATTCACCTTTAGCAAGCGAGGTGTTCAATGTTAAAACCTCTCCGTATGAAGATTCCTTGGCTCAGCAGTGGGCACTTATAGGCTTGCGTGATGTGAATAGACCATACGGTACTTCTGTATCAAATATTATGTACACACCCACTACTTCAATTGACATTAATGCAAAAGGCAATAATGAGAACGCCTTTACCTAACCCGCATTGAGCAAGCGTGATGATTAATGCTCTAACCTTCTCTGTATAAGCAGAGGCTTCTGCTCAGCAGTGGGCACTTATAGGCTGATGATGAATAATATGTAGGCTACTTTTCGTCTGGATAACGGAGCAAAGCACACAGTATAACATAGGCATAGTTTATTTTATAAAAAATATAATAAAAAAGTAAATTTTTATTCTGGATTTAGTTTAGGTACTCAAAATATTTTACTAGTTTCACTAGATAAAAACTGGCTGTATTTAAATATTGGTTTCGTTTTAATTAAAACAAAACACTGTGATATTTATCGCGTTTCAATTTTAGCTGTATCGACGAACCATTTATTTATGTTTATAAAATCCCAAATGGATTCACCAAACAAAAATAATTATTACTGCATACAAACCAGGAAGTGGTCAGCTAGCCAATATCAGTATGTTTGTACCGTCCGGAAATTAAATGCAAAATACTCGATCGTTTAGTTTTTATTTATTTATATAAATGAATTTTAATTGTTGCTAAAAGTCATTCTACCCAGAAGGCTAAAATTTATTTATTTATTTAATTAATTAAACTCTTTTCTCTCTCTTTAAAAAACTTTGCCCCGCATTAGAACATCGTGCTGAAACCTGGAGTTTGAAAGTTTGAAATGGCCAATCCGCCTTGGCGTGGCTTGAACCAATGATTAAACATTGTGAGAAGAGGCTTTGGCTTAGCAGTTGACTCTTATGGGCTGATGGTTGTAAATTTCAGATGTTACTTATTTAGTATGGTGCTTGAAAGATTTTATAAATATAATTTATAAAATAAGTTTTGTTAAAATTACTTACCTATTTATTTGTGAATTTGGTATCTATACTAATATTATAAAGAGGTAAAATTTGTAAGTTTGTATGCTTGTAAGTTTGTAAGTTTGTATGTAGGGGGTAATCTTTGAAACCACTGGTCGGATTACCAAAATTCTTTCACTGATAGACAGATAATTATTTCACACATAGATAGCTACAATGTTCCTGAGTGATTTAGGCTATAAATCATCACTCTACTATTAAATGGAGCCCAGCAGCGGGTGAAATCGCGCGAGGTTAGCTAGTTAAACTATAAAATCTGGAATGACAAATTTATATCACTACTCTTTAACTGAGTAATACAGGGGTATAGCCTAATAGAAGCTTATAAAAAGTCTAACTGTTTGTTCTTTAAAAAAAACTTTATCAAGATTAACTATCGTTTAGAGATCATTATATTACCCTTAAAAATGAATCTTCACCTACCACACATCTCTGCACTACCAAAAGGATGACTGGCAGAAAATGCTTCTAGTAAGTCCTTTGATATGCAATCTTTATATATAAAAATTGCGTGTCACGTGTTGTCCGCGATGGACTCCTAAACTACTGAACCGATTTTAAATTAGATTTGCATTCAGTGTGCATTTTGATCCAACTTAAAAGATAGGATAGCTTACATCTCAATTTATAATCACAATATTATTTACCCTAGCCACAGCAACGCCTGGCTGGGTCTGCTAGTTGTATATAAAGAATAAATAAATAAATAAATAAAATCGCATAAATCATTATGACAGTCTACTAAAGAAGTTTTTATTTAAACAGCAGAATTTTTTAGAGTTCTTCTTTGACACGGTAATTGAACCATTCTCGATAGTCGAGTTTTAAGAAGAATGTTTATTTAGAAAAGTCTTTTTTATTTCATTGGTTAATATAGGTTAGGGTGGTAATGGTAAATGTACTTTTTTATGTGATAGGTTGGCAAACGAGCAGACGGAATACCTGATGGTAAGCAATCAACGCCGCCCATAGACATCCGCAACGGAGGAGTTACGAATGCGTTGCCGACCTTTTAGGGATCAAATCCTTAATTTGGAGATTTAAGGATTAAGGAGGGATTGGGAGCGGCGAAGGATTGGGCCTTCGGTAACCTCACTCACACGGCAAAACACAACGCTGTGGTTGTTTCACGCCGGTTTTCTGTGAGGCCGTGGTATCACTCCGGTCGAGCCGACCCATTCGTGCCGAAGCATGGCTCTCTCACACTTTAAAATTAAACACATTGTAGCAAAAAGTCTCTAATGAGGTTTGATAATTTTGAATTTATGGATAATCTTTATCTTATAGCCTGGTCACGTAAGCACATTATAAAAAAAAAATTTTTTTTTTTTGAGATACTTACTATAGAAATCTGGGATATTGAATATCGAATCATTTCGTAAAATCGATTACCTCCTCTCAATGAATTTTCTAGTCATTAGCAAACTTTTTATTTTATTCATTCATCTAGAGTACAGAACCCTAGGACACGGCAAAATACAAACTTGGTCGCTTCATTCAATTTGTACAACAATCGCTCTTGTAGCCAAACTTCAGATAAATATGACAAATGTAGTTCTGCAGTTGAAATATTATTTCGAGCTCTCTAACAAATACTTTTACTTGTTTTTCTTTTTGGAAATAAATATTTATCTTTTAATATTACAGTGTCTATACTGAAATATTTTAAATCATATAGATATGGTTTGTATATTTAAAAATCGTTAATTATCATATGGATTTTTCGTGGTAGGTACATCTAAAAACACATAAACACGTCACACCCAAACCCGAAACAACAATTTATTGATCACACCAAGAGTTGTTCCGCGCGGGAATCCAATTCGTAATACGTTACACGGCAGTCATTTGTCCAGCCTCCGCTTCTACCGTGGCTTCTACCGTGCAGTCCATAATATTTATTTGTTTGAAAGTTCTTTGTAATAGACGGAGTATAGGTAATATTTTTAGCCTTATCTAATGGCCTGTTTTACCAACTTCATATTATATCGTTCTATATGCAAACTTATTTTGTGCCAGATATTAAGACGTTTTTGAAGAGGCTCTAAATGTTTTCGACACTCTGCAACTTTTTTTCTTTGCTGTTTATCTCTGGGATTTTTTTTTTCGATCAAACTTTTATATTTTTTGTTGAAGAATAGGTTTAATGATGAAAAATGAAGAAATAAAATCATACATATGTAAATATCATTTATTACAGAAGGAATTAACCCGTTTATGGAAAATGCACACTACTTATAGGAGCGTCCGGAATAGTAGCTAAAAGTAGCTACACTACAATATATATGTAGGAACCCGATTCTCCTTCTTCCTGAGGGTCTTGAGGTGGGAGGATTGCAAAATACCGGCTCTCACAGAGTCGAGTTGCAAGAATCATACATATAAAACTTCCTTTACTATCACTCTGTCAATAAACAAAAACGAATCAAAATCCGTTGAGTACAGTTTTAAAGATTTAGGCATACATAGATATATAGGGACAGAGAAAGCGACTTTGTTTTATACATATACATATGTAGTGATTATCTAAGTATGATATTTTGCTCACGTTATTCTGTCACGTTTTTCCAGATGTTTCGGATCCGAATGCGAAAAAATCGAGCAGCAAGAATGAAGAGGAGAAACCTGATGATAAGAAGGCGGTCCACAAGTTGGGTCTACGTAAGTATTTCAGAATTAATTTCTTTTTTAATACACTAGGTACTTTAGTAGATTAAGTATCGCTTCAATATTAATATACCACCTGATGATCCAAAAGATTCTTCAGAATACCTCATTCCGAGCCCTCATTCTGCTATACGTGCAATGGTCCATTCCTAGGGAGATTTGTAAGTTAAGACATAATTATGTATATAGTAAAGCGGTTTAAGTGTAGGAGAGCCATGCTTCGGCACGAATGGGTCAGTTCGGCCGGAGTGATACCACGGCCTCACAGCAAACTGGTGTGAAACAACCACAATTCCTAAATCTCCAAATCCCTAATCCCCAAAAGGTTTGCAACGCACTCGTAAGTCCTGCGTTGTTGCGAGTGTCCATGGGCGGCGTTGATTGCTTAAACACCTAATCTGTCTCATTTGCCGACCTAACATAACAAAAAAAGCGTTGTGAACATTGTGGTAGTATTTTTTACTTTTGGACTTTTTATCAATATACAACTTTGCGACGTAGCCGTGTGGTAACCTATAGTATCACAAAAAAGTTACACTTAAAGTTTTACATGGTATTTCTGTAGGTATTTGTTTATCTGTGTATTCAATGACAGCTGATACCTATAACCAACACGTCTCTTAGGTCTTGTTATTTAGTGCTGACTGCAGCCTCAATGCCTAAGATTTCTAAAATCTCTAGCACTTCATATATAATCCAAATTGAAACCTCCTCAAATATTATCAACAAGTACCAATCTTTTTTTCTATTATTTACAGAATCTTTTCTGTGACTAAAATGACACCCTGATTATAGAAAAACTATCCAACTTTTTCTTTTTAAAATAAACACGAAAATCTTTTTTTTGTGAGGGGAAAATCATGAAATGGTTTCTCTTACTGACTAAAAACCCTTCCTCCTTTTTCTGCTCTAGGCCAAGGTTGTTGTGCCTCATAGGGCTTACTCCGCAACCCCGGCTGATACACCAAAATCTGTTGAACGAATTCCTCTATATCCGATATTATACACCGATATTGGCGAATATATTTTCATGTTAATAGAACAACAATATAGGTTATGAATATGTATAAACCTGTCAAATTCAGGAACAATTGAAATGAATGCATGCATAACATAAAGGAAATTGTGTTACGCTATGATTGGCAATGATCGATCGATTTAGGAATTAATCAGAAACCAATATGGCTTGTTTTAATGCTACAAGTGATTTGAATTGAATAACAATGCTACAAGTTATTTATTTGGACTAGTCAAACGAGCAGACGAATTACCTGATGGTAAGCAATCAGCGCCAACCATGAACGTTTGTACCAAAGGCGGTATTACAAGTGCTTTGCCGACCTTTTGGGGACTGTTTGGGATTTACGGATAGGAGATTTGAGGATACAGGATAGGGAGGAATTGGGCCTCTAGTAACCTCAATTACACGGTTCAACACAATCCTTTTGTCCGGTGCATCAATGCGTGATTTGCTCTAATTTTTATGGCATCTACATAAAATCCATTTATGTTTCCAAGCATGCAGCAAAGAAATTAAAAACTGAAAACACATTTATCCAGTAAAAGTGTCACTTTCTCATTAAAGAAACGCAAATATAATTACCCTATTAATACTAACTAATTACAATAATTGGATCATTAAAGTGTATTACAAACTTAAAACAGATCATCTTTTAACACATTAGCATTAAAACTACGATATATTTCGAAATACGAATGATATACAACTGTCATTAATTGACCAATCAGCGGGTAGGAATGTCGTAAAAAAAACAGTCGCAAATGCATCTTCAGAAACAGTCGTGTATCGAATGAATTTCTAATATGGCGTGCGAAGGAATCGTGCAGTAATTTTAATTAGAACATTTTACTTTTCTCTCAAACGATTTTACGTACATATATGGTATGTTCACGAGATTTGTTAATTTGTTTGCGATTCCGCGCTTCGGATGACTGGTATGAACTTTCCTTTATATTTTTTGCTGAAATAATATTCAGTTTTCAAGTGATACTCTTGTTTAATATTCATATGTCCGTTTATGCGATCATTAGACCGTGAAGGTTGCATGTTTACATACGTTGATTTTGTCGTAAATTTACATATCATTAATTGGCGATCGGAGAAAGAAAGTCGGATGTATACATAGTATGTTTAATAGTCACGCAAGGAAATGAATTGTAACGAGTGCTATTTCATTTTGATTATAATTTATTTCGTTTACTATTGTATGCATTTGGTTATGTTACTTTGTAAGAATGTGTCAGTTTGTGTGTTGGCTGTTTAGACATTATAAAGATCAGGGTTAACTTACAAATTTGACTTCGGTTTGGCGTTCTGGGATTTTGCAATTTGAATCTTATCAACAGAGTCAGGTGTGATATTGACCTTCTCGGCATATCCTTTGAAGAATCTCTAATACCAGCATCTGGCAGGAAACTAAAGTTATGATTAGCGAAGCTATAACTGGTATTGACGGTGTGATCTGGCGCAGTATTTATTTAATGTTACCTGATTATAACACCATGGTGCTACGAGTGCATTTTTGGCTTTTTGAGGATTATGGTTTCGAAGATTTTGGGATTAAGGTGGGATACAGACAGTTATTTTGTTTCATGGTGCTGTGAATTATAATTTATTTTTACTTGACTTCAGCGATCTTGACCGATGCTGATTTTCTTGGCTATGTTTTTATTAAACATTGTTTTATATTATATTTACAGTTCTTGTTTGTGAATTATTCGCTACTTGTGGAATCGCTAGAGATCCTTTTATGAGCTGCTGAGCAAAGGCCTCTTCTTAGACGGAGAATTTAAGCATAAAAAACCGCGCTTACTCAATGCAGATTACAGACTTCAAACTTTTTATAAAAAATTCATATGAAAAGGTTCAAAATACCGATAATTTATTCTACTGTATATTAGTGGTGTCCAAAACAGCTTAAATGCAATTAGCCTTCACAAATTCCTTAACGTAAACTTGAAATGAAAATCTCCAACAGACCGCAACATACCAGCTAAATCCTTCATTAAAGCACTCCAAAAAAAAAGAGTTGATATAAATTAAAAATAGGAAGTTTCGCTGTCCGACCACAGGAAGGCATAAATAACTCTAACGCCACCGAATACAGCTCATATTTATTTCTCAAGCGAATTTTTCAAAAAACTTGATCATGATTTATACATCGTCAGTGCAATTTATGTGCTTCAAGTTTTATTTTTCAGGAACGACTTTTTTTGTCAAGGACATTTTTCTAAGGCGTTTTGTTTAAGTTTTTGTAAGTAATAGCTATGATTTGAATGATGTAATAAGCAAGCGTTTTGATTAGTTTTTGGTTGTAGAACTTCGTTTTTGCCATTTATGTTCATGGTTTAGTTAGGCTCAACTTGTATATGGTTTAGTTTCATTGAGGGACGGATTACGGATACGGACGGATTAACCCCGGAAGGGTTATCGCAATAAGATATAATGGCCTCGGTCTAGAAAAGGAAGAACGGTTTAGTCAGTTTGAATCTGACACTGCCTCTCGCCTCACCATGGGCGATTTTTTGTGCATTTATTATGACTAAGTTATAAAATATTTAATGAGACAGGAAAGCACACTTCTCTGACTATACTTGAACTTGAAAAACAGCAGTCGGCAGTCCATCTTCTGACTGCGTGGCAAAATTTTGTATGGCATTTTTATGATTAGTCTCTAAAATCAAAGTCAAAGTCAAAAAAAATATTTTAAATAGACCAGTATAGGCACTTTTGAACGTCAAAGAAAAAAAAATTAAAGTTCAACTTTGCTTGTTTGTCTAACGGTCTGTCCTCTAGTGAAGCTATTTGCTCGTACCAAAGTGTAGATCCCTATGGAGAAGACAAAGCAAGAAATTCCGTGGTTACTTTTTTCAATCAGTTTTGCAATCCATTTTCTTTCCTTTAAAAAATTGACAAGATTTTCTTAACACTAAACTACTAACTAGTAAAAACCAATGCTATAAGTTTTAAAAAACGTATTTTATGTAAAGAAAATCAAAAATATAGCGTACATAAAATTAATAGATAGATATGAATTTTAGTTAGGTAGTAAGAAAACTAGCACCCAACAAACAGAGTAATGAAACAATAAAAATATATTGCCATGTTATATATTTTATGGTAGATAAGGCACTAGGGCTCATGTCAGGTCTGAGATGAGGAACAAATTTGTTTTTCTGAAGAAAATACAAAATTTACAACGTTGTAAATCACTCGTACTGTAAAACACTAGATCTTTTATATTTTGATTGTCTTATATATTATAGGTATATAGGTATAATAAATCTTGTAGGTTTTAGTAATAGAGTATTCTACTGTCACAACTATACCTTTCAAAAAGTAATTTATTCAAATAGATTAAATGGGCAATACTTATTGAATTTAAACGAAGTGGACTATCCCCCATTTTCCAATTCTCAACAATGCACGAAAGACTGGCAACCTACTTGTAACTCCTTTGTTGGGTAGGGTGCTTCTTCGCGCGCAGCTCAAAGATCCAATAGACCACCACAAACGAGGCCCTATAGGGATGATGTTCAGCTGGGGCTGCGGAGAAGCGCAGTGAGGCACCGCGGCCTCAGTCCAGAGCAGAAGAAGGAACGGGGGGATTGTAGTCAGTAAGAGTGTGACACTCCCATCTTCTCTGATATACCTAAGTTTGTAAAACAGCGGTCTGCCATCCGCCTTCTGACTGCATGGTACTATGGTATTCACGTGGAATAGTGACTTCCTTCAGATTTTTGGTATAAAAACTATCCTATGTCCTTTCTCCAGTTCCAAACTATGTCTGTACCAAATTTCACAGAAATCGGTTGAGTAGTTTAGGCGTGAAGAAAAGACAAACAGACCAAGTTACTTCCGCATTTATAATATTAGTTTGGATTGCATGATTGATAAGAAAAATATGCTCCTACAATTTTCCTTTGGCTTTAATAGAAAAAATCTAGGCAATAAATGCTATCTGACGTTTTAA